CCCAGTGGTTTTTCCTACTTTCTTCAATTTAAGCTTGAGTTTTGCTATAAGAAGCTGATGATCAGAACCACAATCAGCTCCAGGTCTTGTTTTTGCTGACTGTATAGAGCTTCTCCATCTTTGGCTGCAGAGAATATAATCAATCTGATTTCGATATTGCCCATCTGGTGTTGTCCATGTGTAGAGTCACCTCTTGTGTTGTTGGAAAAGAGTATTTGTGATGACCACCTTGTTCTCTTGACAAAACTCTATTAGCCTTTGCCCTGCTTCGTTTTGAACTCCAAGACCAAATTTACCTGTTGTTCCTTTTATCTCTTGACTCCCTACTTTAGCATTCTAGTCCCCTATAATGACAAGAACATCTTTCTTTGGTGTCAGTTCTACAAGGTGTTGTAAGTCTTCATAGAATTGGTCAGCCTTTTCAGCAATGGTGGTTGGTGCATACACTTGGATGACTGTGATGTTGAAAGGTCTGCCTTGGATTCGTATTGAAATCATTCTATCATTTTTGAGATTGTATTCAAGTACCGCTTTTCCCACTCTTTGTTGTCTATGAGGGCTACTCCATTTCTTCTACGGGATTCTTGCCCACAATAGTAGATATGGTAATCGTCTGAATTGAATTCGCCCATTCCTGTCCATTTTAGTTTTCTGACGCCCAGGATGTCAATGTTTATTCTTGCCATCTCCTGTTTGACCACATCCAGCTTACCAAGGTTCATAGATCTTACATTCCAGGTTCCTATGCAATATTTCTCTTTGCAGCATCAGACTTTCCTTTCACTTCCAGGAGCATCCGCAGCCGGGCATCCTTTTAGCTTCGGCCCAACCACTTCATTATCTCTGGAGCTACTTGTAGTTGTCCTCCACTGTTCCTCAGTAGCATGTTGGACACCTTCCGACCTGAGAGGCCCATCTTCCAGTGTCATATCTTTTAGCCTTTTGTTTCTGTCCATGGAGTTTTCTTGGCAAAGATAATGGAGTGGCTTGCCAGTTCCTACTCCAGGTGGATTGCGTTTAGTCGGAACTCTCCACTATGACCTGTCCGTATTGGGTGTCCCTGCATGGCATAGCCCATAGCTTCTCTGAATTATTCAAGGCCGTTTGCCACGTCAAGGCAGCAATTCATGAAGGGGCATTTATACTGTCCCTCAAATGTCAGGAGCATCAGCATTTTCAGTGTCTTTTAGCACAGTGGGACAGACATGTTTCAGCAATTGCTCCAAGTAGAATATGGTTACATGTAGAAAAAATTGTATTTGGACTGGGTTTAGTATGACTGAAATCGGTTTACTCAAGCCCCTTCGCCAGGACAAGGCAGCAATCTGTGAAGGGGGTCCCCTGGTTTAGTGATTGCTAAAATGTCCTCAGGTTTTCTCTAGTGAGCTGTGGATTAAATTAACATCTCAAGTCAGCTGGGATCTCTCGTTGAGGGAGCCATAGCTTTGTGGTAAAGCACATAATATGCATGCAAATTATTTCAGGTCCTTAGCATATCTAGTTATTGGATTTTGGACAGAAATTGCATACTAGCCTATGTCCTAAATTCTTAATGAACCACTTAAGTTAGAGTAAGTAAGTGTAATCTTTTATTCTTAATGAACCACTTAAGTTAGAGTAAATGTAATCTTTGTGCATCAATTGATTGTTTTATAAGATATCCTATGATTTGTGTGGTTCTATGCAATCACTGTTGTGTTTCCTTAGCTGCACTGGCTTCAATAATTCTCTATTTGCAAAAATCTGAAGTGTGGTCAACAGTATTATTGGTAATGTGTTCCACTCAGAGTATACTCAGGAAGTTTTTGTAGCATGAACTGGCATTCCAGTCTTTGCTGCATACTCTGCAAAAGGCAAAAACAATCCTTGGATGCTTTGGCTCTAGGGACTCATTTCTTCATAGCAGATGGAATGTTTGCAGGTAAAAGTTGGTATGAGGGGGAGGGAATTAGTCAAATGATCCTTTGTACATGTTGAGTTATAAAAAGAGCTTGCGTTGCTAGGCATCCAAATGATGGCACATGGGAAAAATTACTGTATAAGATACAAAATAAGGCTGTGTGTGAAATTGAGGACTTACATTTCTAGATGAATATAAAGCCTACATAACCATTTGTACAAAAGTATCTTGGAACAGTAAGCTGAGAAGCTCAGCTGAATGGATTCTGTTGTTTGTACTTGGATCATAACAAAAACCGTGCTTTAATTCGTCTTACCTTCCCAACCCAAACAAGAATGGTTAACTCCCGTTATGGTTTTTTTTTCTCTCTCTCTCTCTCTCTCTCTCATATTCTGGAATGATTCTGGAATGTACTTAACGGCTGTTATTATTTGCTGATAAGTGTTATAAACTTAAACAAGAAGCACTTGTGTGATATATGAAATCAGATTTTACATCATAATCACAATGGAATCTAATCTTTTAATACACCATATTCCTGCTGCTAGAATAAATTTTATTTATAGCAGAAGCATGTTCTTAAGTGAGAAAATATATTGGGTATTAATAATGGGAATGGTAGTTAGCATACATTTATTGCATTCGTTGATGGCTGTTGTGATCCCCAAGCTGAGACTGAACTGTGACTCAAATTTGAAGACACTGATACCAAGGCTCAATCTGCCGAGCAGGTCCCTTAAATTAGAAACCACCAAACTGTGGACCTTATACATAATATCCTCATACTTGATTTGTCTGAGAGACCTGACTCCTCTATATCAAGGCTTCATTCTTCCAAGGATCTTCTTGCCATGCTGTGTAATGCATCTGGACGAAAGGAAGACATAGTGCTAGACTCCAGACCAGAATTTTATCCCTAATAATAATCTAATAATGATCTTCTGGCCCAAGAGAATGTGGTCCAAGAGCGATAAGTATTTTTATTTCTACCACTGATACTAGGGGACCTTTGTAGTGCACAGCTGGACTTCCTCCTTTGCACAGCTGCAAATTCTTTCCTGTAAATGTCCCCTCTTGCTTTTTTTCTTTTAAAAAATTGTAGTTGTTGTTATACTAGTCATACTCTTAAGTCAATTAATAAGCACATTCATACATATCTCCTGACGTTATCACCAAGACTTCTCAGTTGTGGCAAATGGAAGCTAGGGAACAGATGTTTTCAAAGATATTGTGCACTACCTCTTGCTAGTGCAACTTGGAATCTGCTTTGTCTGTTTCAGGTGTGGAAGAACAAGAAGCACAGGGCGGTGTTCATAGCTCTCCTCCTCCTTCTTGTTGTCTTAACATCAGGTCTTTGCCAGACTTACCCCACAGAGTTGTGAGGACAGAGAAGAGAAAGATGAGAGATATGTACACCACCTTGAGCTCACGGGATGGAAGGTGGGATAGAATAAATACATAAGCAGTGCTGTATTTTACCGTTAAATAGAGACTTTCTTTGTCATTTTCTTCCCAAATACCCTAAATTTCTACTAGAATGTATTGGCCTACTAAGCCTATAGTAGCAGTTTCTCATGCATTCCCTGGACCAAGTTGGCCATGGGAAAAAGCAGTTACTCTGCTTGTGCTTATGAAGGAACTTATGTAAGCTATGTAGTTACTGGAGGACAGCTGCTCTTGGGTATTCAAATAGCATTGTGATTTATCCAGCTCTCTGTCTCTGTCTGCATGAATTCTAGACTGATTAATGCCAACTGCAGTCTAGCTGTGTTTGGCAGTGCATATGCTTCATCATTTTCCCATTTTGAGAGGAGTGACCAAGGTGACACTATTTGCAGAACCAGCTCAATTGGCCCTGTGGGTACAATTGGTTTGCAGGAAAAGGATGATAAAAGTTTTAATTCTCTGCACCTATTATTTTTGGATTGTTTTTTTTTTCCCCTCAGAAAGAGTCCACAACCCCATGGCCTTTAAAGAATAGGGAAGTGATATTTAATACACCTCTTTTTGTCCTTGTAGCTTCTTTTTCCTGTTGAATAGCCACATGCATCTTAATTTAATCTCTTTAAAAGTGAGCAACTCTTTCAGCAAAGTGACTGGTTTTATGAAACCCTTTATAGAAGATAGCAGTTTTCTGACAGAATCAGTACTAAGCACTTTCAATTGTCCTGCATGAGGAGAGAGAGAAAATGCATGTCACCTCTGTTTTTGTTATTTCCACCAACTGACTTTCTCTTTGTTGTGGAGTTTCAGCTATGACATTGGGTCACTACTCTTTTTAGCTGTAATAGATTGCCTGTAGTGCATTCAGTGACTATGTTACCTGTTGCTGGTTCTTTTTCCAGGTCAGTTGGCTGCAGGTACATGTGAAATTGTTACTTTGGACAGAGATAGCAGTCAGCCTCGAAGAACTATAGCCCGACAAACAGCCCGTTGTGCATGTAAAAAAGGACAGATTGCTGGTACAACAAGAGCAAGGCCAGCCTGCGTCGATGGTAAGAATTGAAGGATCTTTTCACTCATTATCCACCCTGCACAGAAGTGGTTGTCAAGTGTTTTATTTGTTCACATTGTGGAAGTGTCTAATCAAATATTTCTGCATGGAGTGGCCAAGTTGGTGGGTGGCCACAAGGAGTATGCTTCAATTTTTTTGCAGATGTTATCATCTGAAAAACTGTATGTTTCTAATTACGGTAACAATTGACTCCCTTTCTTTTCTGGTGGCAAAACCATTATTTTGTGTTAGATGATGAAGTTGAGAAATGTGAGGTAATTCCCAATGGATTGATATTGGCAGGTTAGTTGTGTGTAAGTTCCATACCAGTGGGCAACCATGGCATCCAGATGGTATTTTGGAACATTGCTGTATATTTTTTGTGCCAGAATGTACAAACTTTGAATTGGATTTATTTTAGTGTGGGAAAGGGTTCTCCTGCTTTGCAGTATTCTTGTGTTTAGAGGTATAACATTTCCCAAGAACCTTCCTGTCACTTCCCTTGAGCATCAAAAGTTGTGTGCTCACACTTAGCCTGATTGTTGAAAATAATGCTTTAACATCTTAATTCTAACTATAGCCAGTGTGACCATTCCTGCGTGAAAGTTAATGTGGTGGGGGAGGGCAAAAGGGAGATGATTATGTTAGAATGGAACAGTTGTGTTCTACCTTTCATTTCTGCTGTCCCTTTCCTCATTAAAAATGCCATTCTCTATGATTCAGTGCAGATTCAGTATGTTGCCTGCAGCATGCAAAAATGCTGATGCAGAGGGAGGATGAAAATATTTCACTTTGAAATCTTTTTTTTTTTTTTTTTTTGGTATGTCTCAAATGAGCTGCTGTGTTCCAAATAAGACACCAGTGGTACAGTCAGAAGTGTAAGCTTGCTGATGATGACTCGACTAACAGGCACTCACACTGCAATTAAAAGTAAAAGAAAATAGGACTCCTGTTATAAATAGATGGCATTAAGAATGGCATGTTTTGATTTAGGTTTTGAAGAAAGAAACAAATGGGTTCCACTGTAAAAAAAATTTTTTTCAGGTTTTCTTTGAAAATGACTCACACTTGAGCTTATTAAAGGGGAGAAATGCTGTGACTTTGCTACCATTTCATCAAAATTTGATTTTTTTACTGACAAAGAAGATGGCACAAAAGGGATTTCACTGCCTGCCCACAAAGCTAAATATAAAAACATCTCATTTTTTTCTTTTTTCTTTTTTTGCTTTCACTCTTGCTGGTACTCTAACACCAGCTTGTTCTTCCGGTTTGCTCCTATCATATTTTGCTGTGGTATTTCAGTAATCCAACACACACTTTTATTTTAAACAATATCATTTAATGACTTGTATAAATCAAAGAGCTGAATACTTTTGAAAACATATTAGACTGGGTAGCCTCGTGGTGCAGTGGCTAAACTGCAGTACTGCAGCTAAAACTGATCACAATCTGAGTTTGATCCCAATTAATTCAGGAAGCTGGCTCGAGGTTGACTCAGCCTTCCATCCTTCAGAGTTCAGTAAATTGAGTACTGGGGAGAGCAATGTGTAGTCTGCATAATTAAATTGTAAACCACCCAGAGAGTGTTTTAAATGCTATGGGGCAGTATATAAGTAGCACACTTTCTTTGTTTTTTGTTTGTTTGTTTTGCTTTACATGTTACGTTGCTGGATTCTGGTTTAGGTTAATTATTTCACCTCTGATGTTGCTCCACAAATTCCAAGTTCTTCAAAATGAAAATAGAGAAACAAGTTTTACCAGTTCTTATGATTTACAGATTATTCGTGTTGCATGAATTCATATTCTAAAATTTGTTCTTTACCATTGAAATACAGTGTCATTTTTTTAAATTTAGGGATTACATTTTATTTATTGATTCTCCATCTGGAAGCAAACTTCACTGAAATCAATAGAATTTCAAAGCAAACATGTTACGAATTGTAATCATGAACATGTAGTCAGTTTCTCCAATAGTGAAGTCTGATATCTGCCAATTTCAAAATGTAATGGGGCTACTCCAAAATAAGTGATCTCTGCATAGTTAGGAACTCCTTACCTGTGCAAGATTAGATATGTTTTTAAATGGAAAGAAACAGACATTTTGTAAAATCAGACCAGCCAGTCAGTACCAGTTAATTTTGATTGTTTAGGTAATGCTGGCAGCAGTTGAGTGTGTAGTAATGATCAGTTCAACTAAAGATACCTTATGTATAAAAAGGGGTTTCCATGTTGATAATGAATGCCAAAGTAGGGGCCATTATTTTTACGACTCCTTTTTCTTTTCTTTCTGTGTGGGTTGGCACTGCTGTCCTTTACATTACAACCTGGAATTCTTCACTTAGGTTTCTTGTGAATGGCTTGTACCCGAGGCGAGATGGTCTAAAGGATATAGGTGCTGCTCTGACTAGCAGTTATGAGGCTAGTAATTATGTCTATGGGTGGAAGTCTTTGAAACATCAAATATTAGCTTGTCAGGTAATACCTCTGATTACAAAGACAAATCAGCTAACAGGTGTTGTGTAAGAATGAGGGTGGTATTTTTAAAAAATGCTGTGAATACTAATGGCACAATAATACTAGTTAAATGTTTTAAATGAAAGTAAACAACACTGAAGTTTTTGTTTCTCTTAGGTGCTATATTGGAGCCATAGGGCAACAAACAGTCATAAAATCCAGTTCTTAAAAAAATGCTCGGTATTTTTTGAATGGAGAATATTGTGATTTTCTAGGCATAATTCAGAATGCTGGGAAATGGCCCGATATTGCCATGTAGTATTGTGCCTCTGTTGCCATCAGGAAAATGGATGCCAAGCTTTACATGGCAAAGGGCATCCTGAATGTTGATGACACCAGTGTTAACAGTCATGATGGTCTACAGCAGTGGTCCCCAATCTTGGGCCTCCAGATGTTCTTGGACTTCAACTCCCAGAAATCCTGGCTAGCAGAGATGGTGGTGAAGGCTTCTGGGAGTTGTAGTCCAAGAACATCTGGAGGCCCAAGGTTGGAGATCACTGGTCTACAGGATATCCTCTTGTGCTCACTACCATTCACAAAATGACACCAGGGAAGAGAAAATCTCAGAAGCTACTCCGTTTTTCCTCCATTAACCACTTCTCATCCAAGTACAATGCAATTATTAGGGCTATTTTTCAATATCTTCTCTAGGTGTCTATTTCTTGGGATTAATCAAAATGCCTAGGAAAGAAGGAGATTACTTAAAAATATATTATTGCTAGGAAGGGGAGGTAGTAGGAAAAGAGAGTGACCTAATATGAGATGAATTGACTTAGTAAAGGAGGTCACCACTGGTAGTTCGCAAGACCTGAGCAGAACCAACTGGAAAAGACAATATTGCTAGGAAGTTGGGGGGAAGTAAGAAGAGAGAATGATTCAACATGAGATGGATTGATTCATAAAGGAAACCATAGCTGGTAGTTGCAACACCTGAATAGAGCTGTTAATGATAGGACATTTTGAAGATTGTTAACTTATATAGCCACCACACATCAGAAGTGGCTTAATGGGACAAAAAATATTTGGAGGGTTTTGTTTTGTTTTGTTTTTAAATTACCAAACATATAGTGACAAAATGGGGGCAATGCTTGAGGTACGTATCTACCAACCTGAGACTATGACAGGATGTAGGCACAAAAGCAATACTAGCACAGAGTAACACCATCCTTAGCCACAAAGCAAAAAACAGTAATTTCACAGTTTAAACAAATGAGATTTTGGATATTTGTTCTCTGTTCTTTTTAAAAATATCTCTTTACAACCAGACACAGAATTTCCTGTTTGGCCCGTAAAGAGTTAAACTGCTCTCCTCTTGACAGTCACTAATTGGGTACTGATTGACAGGTTAAAAAATTCAGATTGCCCAGGGAGGAGCTGATTTTCCCTTTGAAAATTTCATGTCAGGAGACTGTTCAGTCTGAGAAATCTGTATGCTGAAAGCAGTTTGGCCTAGAACAAAACCACAAACTGTTGACCTCATGCTGTGTGCTTTTGCAATATGTGTGGAAATACTCTCAATATATATCACAAAATTATATGGCAATTGTCTGAAGATACATGCCAAAATGCCCCTTTTCTAGAAGATTACAGGATACCATAAGGGTCAAAATGCATTATTAACTGAATGATAATTTACAAGCCTATTAGAAAAATCTGTTCAATAGTTTGTTCATTTGCTTTTAAATTGAGTCTTTGCAGTGGTGGAATGTAAAACGTGGCACAGACTAAATATAGAACATAAGAGCAGTGCATAATTATATTAATGCACTATTATTGTGCTCCATGAAGTAGTTATGGCTGGCACTTGGATTTTAGCCCTTTTAATTGTGTTGTCTTCAGTGGGTCTGCATTGTTTTATATTGAACCACCATGGCTTAAATGGCTTATGTTCAATGAGAAAAAAAAGGCTCTCCTCAAAATGCCTTTAAATGAGTTGAGCTGAGCTGAATAAGTACAGTTCTTATGAATAACAGAAGTTTTATGGATTTCTATCCATTAAGTTGCTGAAAATACTCTGAATGTACTTTTAGGAGATCTCAGCCTTTCACTGTCATGCTATGCAAGATGTAAGGCTTCCTAAGATTATAAATACTGAATTTATGGTGTATGTAACTGCTTTCAGTGGATATAAATCGAATGCAAATAAACCAAAAAGAGAAAGATCTGATGGATTTGCTACTATTTGGTGCTACCCTGTTTCCGCGAAAATAAGACCTAACCTGAAAATAAGCCCTAGTATGATTTTTCAGGATGCTCCTAATGTAAGTCCTACCCCAAAAATAAGCCGTAGTTAAGTGAAACTCCGTCCTCTACCACTGTGCAGCAAACAGAAGATGACATGACTATATCTGAATAAATGTAGATTGTTGTGCATGACAAAAAAAAAATCCTCTGAAAATAAGCCCTAATGCATTTTTGGAGCAAAAATTAATATAAGACCGTGTCTTATTTTTGGGGAAACACGGTAATGTGATAGCGGGCAGGCAG